AGATCTGCTGATCTAACTTAAGTTTGATCCCTAATTGAAAAATTCACTTCTAGCAGATGTTCTCTCCTGCTATTTCCCTAGCAAGTTCTTATAGTAACTAAGAAAATGCTCTTCAATTCCAGATTGATCTTCGACTAGCTCCCCTTCCTAAATAACAGTTGCTTTAATTCCGTTCCTTGTGTTTTTCTGTCTAACTGCAGCATGGAAATATCTAGTATTCAAATCTCCTTCATTGATCCATTTCTCTTTCAATTTTTGAGAGCAGAAGCTCATCACTACTTTACAAGTAGTAATATACTCTTGGCAGACTTCTTTTTCCTCCTGTTGAACAAATTCATTAATAGGATCTTGCTTCAGTGTTTCCTGTATCTGTTCCAGCCTTACTTTACACATCATCTCTTCTCCTCTATTCTTACAAGATACTTTCTGTTAAATTCTCTCAGAATTGGTTTCATCAGTTTCTTTTTCCTCACCAAGATGAACTGTTTACTGCCTTCAATATGTGTTTGTCATCCCTGATCAACAGTCTCTATGAACTTTGGGTGCTGAATCCAAATGTTAAAGAATCTGAATGACCTTTTAACCTGCTGATTTTCATCTCCCCATCTGATCAAAAGTGGATTGTGATCTGAAATACCTGTTGGATGAATAGTACCATAAGCATCAACAAATTCTTGCATCCATTCCTCATTAACTACAACTCTATCTAGTTTAGAGAAGATTCTCAATTGCCCTATTTGTTTATTAGTCCATGTATACATTCCACCATACATTTGCATTTCCACCCATTCATTATCCTCAATCAGTTGCTGAAACTTCCCTGTGTCTGGACTCAGATCTGTTGTGCCTCCTAACTTCTCATTCCTCCTTAGTATACAATTAAAATCACCCATGATTATCCACTTCCCTACAGCTGATCTTCTTAGCACAGTTAAGTCTTGCCATAGTCCTTCTCTTCTGGGAGCATTGTATTCTGCATATACAACACTTAGAAAGAACTATTTGCTAGTACCCCTCTCTTTAACTAAACAATGTATAAATTGTTGTGTCATCTTTTCCAAGCTCACTTGAAATTCACCTTTCCTTCACGAAATCAGAATTATGCCCTCTGTATCTCCTTCATTATTACCAATATAATCATACTACTGCCACTTCTTGTTCATCAGTTCAACCAATCTCTCCTGATTCAATTTAGTTTCCAAAAGACCAGCTATTACCACATTATTCACAGCTAAGTAGTTCCCTACTTCTCTGTGTTTCAGAGAACTATTAAGTCCTCTAACATTCCATGATAAGATATTATTCATGATTACTAGGCCCTAGATCAGGGGGACTAGAATCTGAGTCAAGGGCGGAGCTAGGCCCCATATATATAGTGGGGCAAAATTTTCAAAATCTTAATTTAACGTATTTGTTCCTTAATAATTTCAATTTAGATAGGGCAAACAGTAATATTTTTACAAAAAAAAAATACAAAATATCAAGGGGTAATAAGCAAAAAAAAATTTCCAGCTGGAGCAATTGACCCAGCTGGGTTATATGTGCGTCCGCCCCTGATCTGAGTAACATATAGTATTAATCGATCTACATTTCTCACTTTTCCTTCCTTCATTGACTTTTAGTCCTTTCTGATTTAGAATCTGGATTCCCTCTATTTTATCTGATGATTGATCTCTTCTGATGATCCTGAATGAACTCCTTACATCCCTTGCTGGATTTGGACTGTTAACAGGAGATGAGAACATTTTATCTTCTTTCACAAGGGAACTGTATTTCTCTGTCACCTTTTCTTTCCCTTTGCTAGCAGCAAATACTTTCACCTTTGATTCATCAACAGAGTTACCTTCTTTTTTCTTCCAATCTTTCACAACAAGCATCCTGCATTCCTTAGTGTTATGGCCAAATCCTTTACAATTCAAACACTTAACAGGCTTCCATTCATACCTCAATTGTTGCTCTTTAAGCTCTCTATGTTCATCTTCATACAGATGGATTCCTTAAGTGTATCTTTTTCAACCTCCACCAACACCCTAGTAAATGCAGTTCATTGCTTATTTGCTGTCATTTCATCCATTTCAACAGGTTTCCCTATCACACTTGCTAGTTTGCTCAGAATGGACTCACTCCAATACCTCAAAGGAAGTTTAGGCATTTGGATCCATACAGGTACATTTTTTCTCCGTCGATCAAATTGGTAAATCGGCTGCCTCAACACCTCTCTTTCCCAGCAACTGACTTGAATCTCATAATGTAAACTCTATTTTTTTAACAACACCTTATCAATTCCAATTTTCCCTCACAGTCTCCTAATGTAACCATTCATCACAGCAAAAGGTGGATTCGCTCCCAACACATAGCATAAAATGGCTGATTTCCAGTAATCAATTCCAATTTGTACTTCCTCAGGCGTAATTTTACCGATTTCACAGTCATTAACTACTTGAGGTTCAATAAATCGAATTTTTTTCTCTTGAGGCTTAAACTGCTTAACATCGAATCTATCCCATACAGAAGTGTTTTCAGTTGTTTTTCCTTCAGCAGCAGTACAAGAAACCTTCACATTCATTTCCGATTCATTTCCAACAACAATTATACGCTAGTTTCCAACTTTCCCTAGCATAATTGTGTTTCAAACAGAGCATTTAATGCCGGGTTCGGGTTCCTTACCTGAATCTAAGGAGCTCCAGCTGAACTTGCCTTCGATTTTGAACTTCCTTTTCCTTCAGTCCGCTCTTCCTGAACTTCCTTATTCCCCTCTTCCCCCTGCTTCTTGGATTTCTTTGTCATGGCGGATGAAATCGTCGAAGAAATTAGTAGACGAAGAAACACGCACTAGAAGGTATTTTCGCCCTTAGCACGAGAGAGAAGCAGTTTTTTTTTTCCCGGAATATAAAATATGTTAAAATTTTATTTAGTATATTTTTTTAATTAAAAATAAAAACTTTAAAATTTTATTTTTGTATTTAAGGTTTTAGTATAAAATTATTATAAAATATTTTTAAAGTTTTGAAAATTATCATAAATATTTTAAAAATTTTATGTTCAATTAAAAGGACAATGAAACTCAGAACAAATCAAAATCCTACTATATTAGAAACAAAAACCTCCCTTTCAAACACTTCATATGGTTGCCACGTGGCATGTAGAAAATACTAAATTACCCTTTTGTCTAACCATAACTAAATTACTAAATCTCCCTTTGCACTTTATGTGGCACATTTTTTTTTAATTTTTTCTTTATGTTTCATTCAACTAGAGTGGTTTTTTAAATTGAATTGATCAATTAGGTTTTTTGTTACAAAGTGTCAATTTTGTTTTAAGTGTATACCCTTCGGATGAAACTTATTACAAAGCTATTAAAAATCTCTAAAACTAAGTATTGATTTGGCACGACCAATGGAGAACGTCAATAAATCATCTTACTAATATTTAAATTTATTAGGATACTTTTGTATTTTATCTAACATTTACTTCAACACATATATTCGATTAAGCTATTTATTTAATAAGTAACACTTATAAAACATTTCTAAAACATACATGGCGAAATACAATTTATTTTTTTTTTTACGAAATACAAATATTTGTATGATCACACTTATAAAACATTTTTAAATCCTTCAAACATTTCTAAAATATATCGCTCCAAATACAAAATTTTATTTTTTCAAATATAAACATTTAAGATCTACAGATAGATGGTAGTGAGAGTCGCGCATTGCGCGACCAGACATCACTAGTATTTTATATAAAAAACCCCCCAGGAGTACATCGTAACTAAACAGTCTACTTAGATCCCCTGGAAGAATTTATAATAAGCTCATCTTTGATCTTCCTCCCCTTTTACAAAATAAGAATAAGCTAAAAGTCTAAAATGTTAATTCCACAATTAAATGAGTACTCGGGCTTCCTTTATATCAACCACAAGAGTCCATTTTCGTGTCTCCGAAGTCTGAACGTTTTTATGATATTTTGAACTCTTGAGAGGCTTTATATTTGTACACGCTGCACAAATATGCACTCCATAAATTGGCACAATAAAAGTAGAGAATCCAAGAACTGTTTTGTAGCCTAAAATTATCTGAACCTAAATATATCAAGCAAAGCTTTTGATATGGTATTTTTTTAAAAAAAAAATTCAAGAAAAAAGCTCAAAAGTGGAGGAGAAAAATCCTTAGAATCCATGTAACCTCGTGTATATCTATAAAACTTTGTATTGTTGCCAAAATTTCGTCCCATTTAGCGGCTCTTATGATATCTCACCGGTTATAAGAAATTAAAAAAAAAATTATCATTAAATTTTCTTTTTCAATAAATATGTACTACTTGTTACTAGGTAGAATTTCATAAAATTCAACCCCCCGATCCTCTATATGAAAGCAGAGGGTACGATTTTTAATACATTTTGAATGTTACTGTTTACATTTTCACACAAAAACTTTTTTAAATAAAAATTCTCTGTGTAGAGCTTCAAAATGCAAAATAATTACAGTCGACAGAAGAAGAAAAGAATCTACCAAAAACAAGGCATCAAAAAATGAACAGAAAATTGTGCTAAATACTACCCCAAAAAAAGTGGGGAGGAGTAGATTGAAAGTAAATCTAAAATCACCAGATTTAATGGAAAAACATTCTCCTTTTTATCTTAATTTTGGTTGGTCGGTGAGATGCGGATGAGACAAATATTAGCATTATCAGATAGTGAACAAATTGCAAAAGCTTTTTATCTCCTCAAAAGAGGGGGTGGTAAAAATTATAAAGATACAGATTTTGCCCAAAAAACAAAACCAAGAAATAATTTATCAAAAAATTTTGGTTTTTCTTCAAAACTTCAAAATTTCTCTCACACAGTAATCAGATAATTCAACTTCGGTTCGCCACCCCGCAATCCTACCCCATCCCTTTTCCTTTATTGTCTATATTGGGTTTTGGGTTCATCCTTTCTTGCTTAGTTTTTTGGAAAAGTTAGAATATTTGTACTGGGTAAAAGAGGAGGAAGAATGATGTGGGACGAGTGGGAAGATAAGGGAAACAATTTGGAACAGCAGCAACAGACCGAGGAAGAATCAGAATCCGGTGAAGAATCGGAAGGGCAAGAAAAGGGGCAGCAGGACGAGGAAGAAGATTCTTTCCTCAAGTTCGATTTTTTATCTGTTCTGCCTCAGCCTACTGTATGTGGATTAAATTTTCGCCGGCTTTTTTGCTTGGTGGTCATCGTGTTTATTTTTCTAAGGCCAAAGTTTGGTTTTTTTTTTTTTTTGGCTCTTTTCTGTTTCAGGATTATTACAGGATATTGGAAGTTGATTATGATGCCACGGAAGATGTTATTCGATCGAACTATATTCGTTTAGCTTTGGTAAGAACTGATGTCTGAACTTTATAAATTGTTAAGCTTGTTAGTTTCACCTGTTGCAGCTGTAGTTGTTGTTTTAATTTTGATTTCTTGGTGATTTTTGCTCCTTTGTTTTGAAAGTTGTAAAAGGGTTTTTTTTTTTTTGTGATTTTGTGGACAGAAATGGCATCCAGATAAGCAAAAAGATCAGGATTATGCTACTTCGAGATTTCAGGAGATAAATGAGGCTTATCAAGGTAAAGCATACTCCGTTTTTCGCATGTTCTTTTTCTTTCTCTCTCAATTCATATTGAATACTTGCAGCTAAATGTATGTGTTTGATGTTTTGTTCATTTGTATTGTTCTCTACTTTTTCTTGCTGGCTGAAGTTCTTGTGTTTAGTTGGAGTTAATTTAGGCCTCATTGAGGTGAATTTTTACTTTTATGCTCCCCTTTCCCTATCGTGGTATACTGGTTTCTACTTGTGTTTGTTTGTGATGCTTGTATAGTTGGTACCATAGATTGGTAGCTTCAGATTGGATATTAGTTTTGTCAATTGATAGAAGTGTGTGGAATACATTTTCACAACGTTGTATCCAAATCTATATTCAAGTTCAACTAGTGTTAAAAAGTTGTAGATTTGGTGTGCCATTTTGATTTTCGGTATTCCACTTATTTATTGAAGTTGATAATTTATTACCCTTCTAAAAATCAGCTGGGTTCTGGAGTTTTTATTGTATACTCTTTGATCAGGTGTCTTGGTTAAAGAGATAAATAAGAAATGGTCCTTGGTGAAGTGCAGTGAATATCTTTGTATGCGTCCTTTGTCTTTTGAAGTGTTATATGCTGACATTTTTAGTGTTAAAACACACCAGAAGAAGAAGGAAAGGACTGTTAGTTCTGTGAATGATATGTAGGTCTCTTTTTCTTGTCCTGTCCCGCAATTGTGAAGAACAGGCAGAGTTGATGGAGTAGCGTTAAGATGATAAGCTTTCATGTGCATGGTCCTGGCTTATGTCTGGATGTATAGTTCACAAAGAAAGAATCTTGTAGAAACTTTGTTTCTGTTAAACCTATCATCTGCTTGTTCAAGAAATGATTTTTTTTTTTCTTGTTCAAGAAATGATTTCTATTCTGATAAGATCCACATATGTGCCGTAATTATTTTTTAGTCCTGAGACATACAAACTAATGCCGTGATGTTCAAAGATAAATTGGAAATCTTGCAACCAATAAATTCTTTCCAATGGAAAAGAGGGCTCAAGGTACAACAAGGAATCAACAACAGAAGCAATATGCTCTGAGTTTTTGAATACTTGTGTATGTGTATAAAATTGTGGAATTTTATTTATTCCATTTGTTGATTGGAAATTTAAATCTATCCAGCTTAAGCAATAATAATTATCTTTAATAACAGCTAGGAAATATAATTAGCTGGACCTGATGTGAAGTAAAAGAGGCGAGGGGTCCTTCATAGAATGAACATCACTCTTAGCCTTCTTAAATCTTTCTAAATTACGTCGTTATGATGCCTTTAATTTCCAGTAAGACGTTTTAGTGTGAAACCAGATGTTAGGTTTGCAGATTTTGCATGGGCAAAGTTACATAAGTGGGTAGTCAATGATCAGTTACATATTAGATTATGCCCATGTCTTAAAAGTGCATTAGCAGAACTTGTGTAGATTGAACAAAAAAAAAGTTAGTAACAACTTTAGCTCATAAAACATGCGAAATCCTAAAAGAAAGCTGTGTGCGGACTTTGACGTCAATTATGGACCCTTGTCTATTAAGTTTTCTATTGTACTTTTCAGTGTTCACTTTCAGGCTGAGCCGTTGATACCAACTTGCATAGTTTCATGTGTGTTAGGCTCTTAGCTATTGCAGTTGCTCAATATATTGCTGAATGTGATCAATTTGTTTGTTTTAATTCTTCCTTTTCCCAATGGTGGTTTAGTTGTATCTAGTTGTAAACCTGGTCAGATGCTTTAGGTTACTGGTGTCATAGTAAAGGCTTTTTAAGTGCATTGACTTCTGAATGGATATTTGTCTTGTTAATAGCTTCTTTCTAGGTGTAATGGAGGTCGGGTTCCTTGCAACGAGATATTTTGGTAATGACGTTATTTTAATCTTTTTGAAATATTAACTCAACTAATGTTAATAGAAAGCATAAATTGGGTGCCTTTCTTATTTTCCATATTCTACTAACATAACTTACCCATAATTTATAATTTTATTACATAGGTTAAGCTAGTTTCTGCAGTTCTGCTTATGTTCTCTTTGATGTGATGCCGATATTGAATGGAAATATGACAAATAGTCCTTGGGAAAGGAACTATACCGAAGACATCTGTGTGTGTGCTTGTGTTATTGCTGTAATTTGACAAACTAATGTCTCATATTTGCTAGCGTTTGTAGAAAGCTTAAACCTACTGCCTTTCTCATTTTCTGTATTCTACTAATTCATTTGTGCTGATCGATTATAATTGTCTTTAAAAAGTTAGCTAGCTTTTGGAATTCTCCTTGTGTTCTACCGTGGTTGAATGGAGATACTACAAATAGTTCTTAGGGAATTAAGCACTGAATTTCTCGGCATGTGTGCTTATGGTACTGTATTTGACAAACTATGTTTTGTGTTAACACTGTTAGAGAGAGTGCAATTTGGGTGCCTTTTGCATTTTCTATATTTTACTAAATCATCTGAGCTGATCATTTATGATTTTCTTAAAGTTGGCTAGAATCTGGAGTTCTCCTTGTGTTCACTTTGATCTGATATTGTGGTTGAATGGAGATATTACATTTAGTCCTTTGGGAATTAAGTATACCGAATATCTCGACGTGTGTGCATGTGTTTACTGTAATTTCACAAACTTGAATGTTATATGCTAGTGTTTCTCATGTGAAACGTGCCAAAGGGATCAAGTGCAAGTTCTGTGGAAAAAAAATGTAGCTCTTTTGTTCCTCTACTGTAACTTCAATTGTGAAAAAGGGGAGAGTGCAAGCATTCGTGTGAAGATTCTCAGGATAATAGACTCTCATGTAGTTTGCTTTGGGTTTGCCGGATTTTTGGTTGTAGAATTAATAAAATAAGATTTCTTCAAAAAGTATTTCCTCTATGTGTTAAATGATGTATTCTGATGGGTTTCAAATATTTGCTGTGATTGCTAGTATTTTGTAGGATGCAGTTGTAATATATGTAAGAATGCAGCATACTGTCTTGATGTTGGAATTTTTAGAGGATATTTTGTAATAGATACCTTTTCTAATGAAGGGGGAATCATTTGAGAGGAAAAATTAAAAAAAAAATAAAAAATTTGGAGACTGTATATTTAGGTTTTGACAGTTTTGGAGATTATTTACGTTCAACGGTACTAGAGAACTTCTTCCTGTATTTCATTAATTGATTTCATATTGACAATATTATCTAGCCATAATCGATATCTTTCACTCTGGTAATACGGTGAGATGAAAGTAGCTGGATTTGATTTGAAATAAAATGGGTGTGATGTGGAAAGTGAGTATGAATCACTCTCACAGACTGCAGTGATGACTTTAAATTTCAGTCTCAATATTTTAGTGGAAACATAATGCCAGGGGTTGCAGATTGCTCTCTTGACTTCCTATTTTAGTGTAAGCAAACTATTATCACTGGAGGAAGCCATTGGTTTTATGGATTTTTCACCTGTATGGATTTAAATTCGTTTATGAAGGAATTTGTTTTGTTATTTAGTAAGTAGTTATGTTCGATACTAAAACTATATGATATGTGTTTGCTACTGGTTCCTTTATACATCCTTTCAGCTTCTGGTCTTTCCTTTCTTAAGATGATGACAACAAAACAATTTAACCATGCTGAAGCCCAACTTTTTTAAATTCACAGAAATTTCTATGTAGATCAGCTTTTTTTGGGTTTAGGATATGGACAATATTGGATGTTCTGTGTTTCCTAAGACCATGAATAGAATTTGACAATAGCAGTGCGACTCTCTACAAAGTGCATCACCGCTGTATTTTTGTGGTGGGAAATTTGGATGACAATTTTAATCAATGAAAAGATCACAGATTGGCTACTGTAACTCTTTTTTGTCACCTAGCATCTATAGTTCATACAATCAAGATAGCCTAAAAGAAAGCTGTTGTCAAGCTGTGTTAGGATTTAAGTGGGTTTGACAAAGGGAAACATTTGGCTGCGGTGTGCATTTGAATTGAGTTTTTGGTTGGTTTTGAAATGATATGATTGTGGCTATTGCCCTTTGTCATTGATTATTGACCCTAGCATTTGACTACCTGGACTTAGTATCCAATTTTTGAGTGGAATTGTTTGACCAGCTTGAAACTTTTTGTTCCAAAATTTTGTGTAGATTATGCTCTTAGCATTCTTGTCTTTCAACATTTGCTAATTGCAGTAAATATAGACTTTTATCTAACTTTAGCTTTATTAGAAACTGATTTGGTTCTATCAACTATTTTATGTGCAAATAACTGTTTCTTTTACATGAATACAGTTTTGAGTGATCCTGTCAAACGTCAAGAATACGACCAGCAGGGAACTCTACGGGCTTATGACTACAACATAATTGTAAGACGCACACACCCAGTATACTGTTTTTCTTTTTATTCTTTCTTTTTTTTAATCTTCTGCTGAACTCGGTCCCATTTGTTCAAAAGTCAACCTTCATGCAAATGATTGCAGGAGTATCTTAATCGTTACAAGGGCCTCATTCTAACATGCAGTGGGCTCGGCATGAAACATTCAATTTGGTAAAACGAATTGAGCAACATCCATTGGAACTATGAGCAGCAGGTCATTTTGATCCTGCAGGCTGTTGATGCAATCGTAGTTGCCTCAAGTGGGATAGGGTGGAATCTGTTGTACTTTTGTAGAACAATCCTTTCGGAACCCAGCTTTTCTTTTCGGTGGTTCTGATGGAATTTTAGCAGCCCTGTACTACTGCCGAAGATTCTAATCTTCATGTATCATAAATTAACATCCTCTTCGCAGACTGGATTAGAAAATTGTGACATCTTTGATCTATCACGGTGGAAAATTAATTGTGTACATTTGACCCATGACATATTGTAGCACAGAGGTGAAATTTTGAACTTGAATTACAGTCTCATTCGTATCTTTTGACAGCATCATCTTGCATGATGGTCATATTGATTTCTTTCTGTCTTCCTGAGTCAAAGCTGATATAATATTAATATCACCGGTTGAAAACTATCCTTCCAGCTAGTAGTTTCTTGTATTCTACTCTGTCTACCATTACAGGTACCTTTTCAAAAAAAAAAAAAAAACCCGTTCTTGTTGCACTATATTTAAAAAACAGAAAAATCATGGAGACAGAGAATGATACATTCAAAAAGGCGTTAGCTATGTATGGATAATCACGTACCAAACCGTACCAAGATGTGAGCTGTAGATGAGTAGGCGTTGAAAAGGATGAGATGAAAGATTGAAAGTGATGGACACTGTTCCTTCGTAGTTGTTTCTTTATTGCTTTCCTAGTAGACAACATGTCACTGACGTTGAGAAGGCATGGCATTTTATCATCGTGGTCCAAAAATGCAACTCAATTTGCATATCAATAAACATCATTTCTCTTGTAAGTGCGAAAGGCACATCAATTTACCTTGAACAGAGACGATTATGACTTAAGACGGCAATGCCGGCATGACTAATGTATCAAGTAGCTCGAATGCAGTCAGTAGTTTCCTCTCCCTGCAAACCATATCAACTAATAGAGTCCATGTATTAGGTTCTGGCTTAAACCCCAGCGTAAGTAAACCGAACAGCATGGTAATCGCATTGGCTGCCTTTCCGGATTCACAAAGAGAGAGAAGGATCTCATTCGAGGTAGCAAAATGTGGGAGAAACCCTCTAACCAACATCAGGCCGACCAGCTCTGTTGCTTTTTCTAATTCACCTTTTTTGCACAAGGAATTAAGAACAATCCTGTAACTTGTCTTGTCCAGATAGACACCATCATATGGCAGCCTTTCAATCATGTTGAGTGCCTCATCAAATCTGCATTCTCGGCAGAGTCCTCCGAGTATAATGTTAAATGTCACTGTATCAGCTCTTAATCCTAGTGCTTTCATCTCCTTGAGCAATTCAATAGCATCATCAACTTTACTAGACCTGCAAAGGCTATCTATCAAAGTCGTATAGCCAACTAGGTCAAGTTTCACACCAGCAGACTTCATCTCATTGAATACCTCCTTAGCTTCCTCCAGCTTGCCTTCTTTACAGAAACCATTCATAAGGCATGAGTAATTGTATATATTTGGAATGCATCCATTCTTCTTCATAAATGCAATAATATTCTTAGCTTTGTCAGCTTTTCCTGCCCGACAAAATCCATTTATCAATACATTGTAGGTTAAGGCATCTGGTACGATGTGATCTTTCGAAACCATTTCCTCGAATACTATGATGGCTTCATCTAATCTTCCACAACCACAGAGACCAGCCATCAAAGTAGAATATGTTATTAAATTAGGATATGATATTGTAGAAAGCTTCATCTCTTTCACCACTTCCTTCGCTGATTCAATATCTCCTTTCTTGCAGTGATATTTAACCAGGATATTGAAAATACATGTGTTGGGCTTCAGATGTAGGTTCTTCTGCACATCCAAAAGAAATGCCCTGGCTAGATCAATCTGGTGGTTTTCAACGAGAAGATTGAGACAAGTGCTGATGGCTGTAAGAGAGGGCTTCTCGCGAACAATTGATTCAATTGCATTGAACATGTCGAGCACCCTTTCGGGCATAGATGACCTCGAGAAATGCTTCATGAGGTTGATGAATATACCTTCATAGAATTTGCAAGTTTCATAGCGCATTTGATGAAGAAGTCTTTCAACCATCCCGAACTTCTTGCATTGTGCTAACTTGTGAAGGATAACTGCATAGGTGGAGTGGTTATGACAAAACCCCTTCTGCTCAGATACCCTTTGGAAAATTTCCAGGGCCCGTTGTGGATCATTCTCGTGTTTGATCAAGTTGATGGTAGTTTCGTGAGATAAGAACTTAGATTTCCTTGGAACTCCTGTAGTAACATCCGAGGTTCTGAATGGAGAATCAGCGTTTCCGACATTTTGTAGAGGGGAAATCCATTGAACCGAAGATAACAATAACTCAGACGTTGAGGAAAAGTTACGAACTTTGAGAGCAAACCTCATTGCATACACCCAAACTAATGAATACCGTCCAGAAGGTCATTTTAACAAAAGTGAACCTTTCATTTACACAACCTGCACAAAAACTTACTTTCAGAGGCCAACTGGAAGAAGAATTGACATTAAAAATTCGCAGCTACGCATTATCAAAAGACAGTGCTATAGGCAAGCTGAATCACTGAAATGCAGAATGTACATAAATCAAACACATATCATCCTAACACTCCCAAGAAATAATTCAATGTTGTTCCTAGTTTCCATTATTACAGAAAGGGGTTTTTATTGAGATAACATGAAACCAGTCTCCCTAATTAAGACCAATTACAGCAATTCTCCCTAAAAATTACAACTTCAACATAAGTTCAGCGACTTCATACCGAAAACGAGAATTTTTTAGCTCAAAGATTCATACTTTTAAAATTCATCCCAGTTATTAAAAGAAGAAAAACACGCAACCCACATAGTTAAGACGTATGATTGATTAATCATAAGCATTACTTCTCGAAATTATGAAGAATTTCTCCATTGACAATAACTGGTCCTGTAATATAAAGGGGACAAATTATGGTTTCCAGCAAGTTTAGGAAGAAGGAAGAATGTCAAAACCTCGTATCGGATGATGGCCGGACCGTTGGAAGGAGTTCGGAGGCTCCGAAATGAATCCGCTATGCTTCAAGGAAACTGACGGCGGTTGGTGGAGAGCCTGGAGACTCGGCAAGTTTTGGAAGTGTTATAAGGCTGCGTTTGTTTTGTGGAGAAGTATTTAGAAAATATAAGGTTTAGATTTTTGTTTTAATTTTAGTTCTTATTTAAGGACTCTAATTAAATTGTACTTACTGCAAAATGTACTGTAAGTGTATACTGTTGAACCACATAAAAACAATACTTCTTCATTTTCTTTTATCTGATTTAAAATTTATAACCATTACATCAAAATTTGAGTTTATTAGCTGATGGCATTGAGAGGTTTTTTATACTCTTTGGGCGATTATTATTTAACTAATTTGTGTTAGAAATAGTTAAATGTTAGAAACACTGAATCATTAAAAGAAAGGGAAATGATTTTTTTTCTTATCAAAATTTGGTCAAATTAACCTTACCTTGTAATTGTTCAGAAAGTTGAATAGTTAACGTCTCCTTGTGGTTAGTTAAATCGTTTTCAAATTAATTATATTAGCAGTTAATTCATTGTTGAAACATATTTTTTCTAAAATATTAATGATTATCTTTCTTCTTTTTTTTTTGGTGGGGGGAAGAAAGTGAAGAAAGAACAATGCACCAAATGGTTCAATTCATGCCAAGTAAAAATTTTTTGCTAAGTTTGAAGTGAAATGCGCTATCAATCAAATTCAATGATTTAAAGAGATGGAAAAAATTAGAACAATATTTGTAGTTGAAGACCTTCGATATTCAAATATTAAGAGTTCATTGACATGTTAAATTAGATTGTTATACTAGATGTTAAACCCGCGCGATGTGCAGGGTTTATTTATATACATTATAAAAAATCAACAAAAAAAATATAAAAAGTGTAAAATGTATTTGGAATCCATATTAAGATACATTACACAACTAAAATTAAATAAAGACGTAATTGTAAAGATAAAATAATGCATATCATTTGAAAAATATTTGAGTCAACATACAACTGGCCATGATTGAAAACAGGTTGATGTAAAAAAGTCCCACATGTAAAAGAGATTGTCTCTGGCTCTTATCGATCATAGCAAAGCAAACAGTCAATGGAAATTATTTTCTTCTCATCTTGAATTTGAGTCTCTTGTCTGATGACATAATTGCCAGTTATGGAATAAAAACTATAACTTCAGCATGTGACCCGGAGTGAAAAGTCACATATATCGAATGCAATTCATAATTATAATCCAGATTTAGAATATATCAATCAACCAAGAACAAAGTTTTTGTTTGAAAATTTTTAAAATCGAACAGAACGGATGTAGTTTAGTTTTTAAAAGCCATGTTTATAATTAAATATAGTAAAAAGTGTACTTTATAAAAATTGTTAGAATTATTAGTAATTGTAAAAGTGGTACATCATATGAACATAATTTGCTATTGTCTAGCAAATAATGTATTGGGATATGGTTAGTTTTTATTTATGAAAAAGTGAATTTAACATGCAAATTAGATTTTGTAACTCATGTTTTGGAAAATTTTTACACAATATAAACATAACTTACAAATCATATTTTGCAAGCCAGTTTTGAGATAATTTACACAAGTGAACATAACTTGAAAATTAAATTTTGCAAGTCACGTTTTGGGAGAATTTATACAATTTAAACATAACATGCAAATTATATTTTGCAAGTCATGTTTTGATATAATTTACATAAATGAATATAACTTGCAAATTAGATTTTGCAAGCCATGTTTTAGGAGAATAAACAATTGAAACATAACTTATAAATCATATTTTGCAAGCCATGGTTTGAAATAATTTACACAAGTGACATTACTTGCAAATTAGATTTTGCAAGTCACATTTTGGGAGAATTTACATAATTTAAATATAACTTGAAAATGAAAATTTGCAAGCCATTTTTTGATATAATTTACACAAGTGAACATAACTTGCAAATTAGATTTTGCAAGCTATGTTTTGGGATAATTTACAGAATTTAAACATAACTTGCAAATTATATTTTGCAATCAATGTTTTGATATAATTTACACAAGTAAACATAATTTACAAATTAGATTTTGCAAGCCATGTTTTGGGAGAATTTACACAATATAAACAAAAGAATTAGTTGCCATACTGATGGTATTTTGTGGCCATTTGTATTGACTTTGACCAAGAAAAACAAAAATAAAAGAACGATATTGAATCATAGTGAGCGCAAATAAAAAAGTCGTAAATTCCAAAGAATATAATTCTAACCTATATTAACCAGAAAATGAGAAAAACGATATTGTGGACGGGTGTATATAGGAGGAGGGAGGGGTTTAAATAGTATTCTTAACATGTTTACATTAAATCAAGTAATAAATGCATAATCAATAATTTCTAATCATTTCTTTTTTTAAAAAAATCGAATATGTAAGAAAAAAGCGTCCACATTCAATCATAATATCAGTCAATAATTATTTTGAAATTGATTATAAAAATCTTTCAAATCTCTTTTAAATCAAAGTATAAATGAGTAATAATTTGTGATACTTTCTTAATTTATCCAAATCAAAATTAATGAGTCTAAATCAAAATAAAGTATAATTGAGTAATAATTTGTGATACTCCCTCCATTCCAATTCAATAGGCCCATTTCGACATACACGGAGATTAAGAAAAAGTGGGGAATGTAGTTTATGTAGTTAATTTTAAATGAAATTTCTACTACACCCTTATTAATGACTAGTGAGTTATTAGTTGATATGAGAGAGTAATTGTTGAAATTAATTAAATGTTCTTGATTTCAGTGAAAGTGGGAAAGGTATATTAGAGAGTTTATAGAAAAAGTTAATTAATTGTCTGAAGTGGAGACTAAGTTTTGAAACATCCTAAAAGGGGAAGTGAACATATTAAAAAGAAATGGAGGGAGTACTTTCTTAATTTATCCAAATCAAAATTAATGCGTTGAACATTTTTATACTAAAATTTTTTTGGCGGGAAATGGGTTAACATGATATAATATATAAATTATAAACCTTAAGAAAAAGTCTATGATCTTTCTCTTTTTTTTTTCCCCTTAGCTATTTGATTGGGAGAAAATAATACTCCCTCTATTTTGAAATATATGTCGTTTTAGGATTTGATAATTTTTTTTAAATATATGTTGTTTTCACAAATCTAGACACATTTGACCACTTTTTACCAATGTTACCCCTACATTGGAAATGAAATAATATTTATAATGAATTTCTATTGGTTTGTGATGAGTTGTATAGAAAATAAATAAGGGTGTTTTTATATTTTAATTATATTAATTAATATTTTTTTTGTTTTGATGAATTCTCTAAAAAGACATATTAAAAAAAAAATGGAGGGAGTACATAATAACAAGTCAATGACGGTCACGGCTTACAATTTTGAGAGCCAAACCAAACAACGCCTTAATTACAGCTCCCGCACAGACAAGACACAGTCACAAAGTCGTCACGTCCACGTTATCGTCAATTCGTCAAACACTAAAATTAAAAAAAAAACAAACAAATATTATATATATCCTTTAAATTTCTCCGGCGGAGCAAAATCAGCAAAACCCACTGGCAAATCAATTTTCTCCCCGCTTTCTCTCTCTAGAAAGAAAAAAAATCCCCAAAAAAGAAAGAAAAAAGAATGGCCACCGCCGCCCTCTCCGCCGCCGTCCCCGACAATCTAAGTCGAGACCAGTACGTCTACATGGCGAAGCTCGCCGAGCAAGCGGAACGGTACGAGGAGATGGTCCAGTTCATGGACAAACTGGTGCTCAGTTCAACCCCGAGCGCCGAGCTCACCGTCGAGGAGCGGAACCTCCTCTCCGTCGCCTACAAGAACGTAATCGGATCCCTTCGCGCGGCGTGGAGGATTGTGTCGTCAATTGAGCAGAAGGAGGAGTCCAGGAAGAACGAGGACCACGTCGTGCTGGTCAAGGAGTACAGATCTAAGGTTGAGAACGAGCTCAGCCAGATTTGTGCCGGCATCCTGAAGCTTCTGGACTCGAATCTGGTGCCTTCTGCTTCCTCGAGTGAATCGAAGGTTTTCTACTTGAAGATGAAGGGGGATTACCATAGGTACTTGGCTGAATTTAAGGTTGGCGATGAGCGTAAGCAGGCTGCTGATGATACCATGAACTCTTACAAGGCTGCTCAGGTTAGTTTGCTCCCTTAAGTGTTTGATTTTTCACTTTGGGAACTGTGTTGAGTGCAAATCTAGTGATTCATTGGTAGGTATGTCAAGGTGTGAGTGGCTGCCCTCTTGATTAGTTCGATTATGTTTTAGGGTCGTAAGTTCAGATTTTGCCCGGAGAATTGAGTTTTAGATGTGTACACTTTTAAATTTAAATTGAAAAGAGGCAGGGAAATCGTCTTGTTCGTCGATGGTTACGAGGTGCTGGTTGATGTGCAATTTTTCTGATTGAGCACCTCAATTTCTACCGTTGCACAGATCTTTGTTCATGCATACAATTGTAGGTGTAGTTCCTTTGCGATGTTGTGACATGTTCGAGAATGGAACCTTTTTTTTGGGGGAAGGTGTTTGTTCTCTGATTTATCAATTCAAGGATTGTTTCTAATTTGTGCTACAATGGGATTTGATGACAATTCTGAGTATTGTGACTTTGTCACTTAATGTTTGGGTTGCTATTTGATGATGGATTATTAATTGTGCACACCATGCCAGTGTAGACTTCAACGTCAGTCATATGGATAATATTTGAATTGCTTTTGGACTACTGTATTATTTTTTTTAGTCATGTGGTTTCCATAGATTGAGGTTTAAAGATGAAAGCTTTGCTTAAATTTTCTAGCCTCTGATGCTACAAATTTCTACATCCAGTTGTTATTTGAACAACTACTTCAATTTCTAACTAAGGTTTGTTGCTTGTTAATTTTTTTGTGAAGGAAATTGCACTGGCAGATCTTCCTCCTACTCATCCTATAAGATTGGGGCTGGCACTCAATTTCTCTGTGTTTTACTATGAAATTCTCAACTCGTCAGATAAAGCTTGCAACATGGCAAAACAGGTAACTTCACCATCTTGCCTGCTCTTGGAGAACTTATGTGAATACTATTTCTCTGTCTTTATTGCATCATTCGTGTTGTTTCTATTGGCAAATGCATGATTGTCAGTCTCCGTTGTTTTTATTAAAAAAATAATGTTGAATCGTCATTGTTAGTGTGCTGATTTGTTGCATATAAATCTTCTCAGTCTGGTACTGTCTGTTGCTATGCTAAAACTCTTGATCTGCATAATGTGCTTGCACAACACTTGTGGTTTACACCTGTAATATGACAGTTATGTGGACTTTTCCATTTTTTGTTTGACATTGTGAATATTCTAGACTAAAGATAAACCACAGACTCAAACTTTAGGAGGTACCATTTCTTACATAGCAGAAGAATGCAGTCTTACACTTCGTTACGGCATTAGAAATTCTAAATTGATCAGTGAATATATATGGGTGGATTTTTGGAATTGCACACGAAGCTAATCAGTTTTAGGTGCTTTTAGGTGCAATGTCCTTTATGTTGTGTGAATTGCTAAACTTGCATCTTCTGGTTTTTCCAACTGCTTCCAAAGGCATGTACTTTATTATATAGTTAGTGTGAAAGTTGGATATACTGTCTCTGTCACTTCTGTGGAATTGCTGGATTATTCAAGTGAAAATTGTTTTTCTTCCAATGTAATTCACTGCCCGGTTTGGAATTGTTTTCTTTTTTTTTTGTTGGGGGGTGGTCTTTTCATTGGGCTGTTCACTTATTATCTTTAAGGGGTTACCTGATTCACAGGAAGCTTATTTAGGTCTACTCTTCCTTCAAAAGACTTCGGTAGTTGATCTACATGCCTTTGATTGGATAGATTGGCTTAAATTTGACCTGTCACAACTGTAATGTTTTCCGTTACAAAATCGGGCTACAAAAATAGTGGATTTGTTGCAGAATTAGGACTTATCTTGTTCATCTATGCTTGTTTAGGCATTTGAGGAAGCTATAGCTGAGTTGGATACCTTGGGTGAAGAATCCTACAAAGACAGCACTCTCATCATGCAACTATTGAGGGATAACTTGACTCTTTGGACTTCAGATGCTCAGGTAGAATATGCATGCAAACCTGCTATGTGACCTGATGTGAATAGATCGAGATTTACTTTTAAACACTCTTTGAGAGTGAATCTTACAAATGTTCATGTTTTTGTCTAAATGCAGGATCAATTAGATGAGCCTTGATTGTTTGTCCATCAATTCCTCAATGTCTCCTCGAGGAGGTGGGCTTCGAATGTCATCTATTTGTGCTCCTAGTAGGGTCTTTCGTAAGAACTGATATTTTCTTACTTTATTCAGACGAATCCTAGTGTTGGGATATAGTACGATCTGGCTGAAACTAATTCCAGTGAATCTTTTGATTTTCACTGGGTCTTTTGAATTTGTAGTTGCTTTTGCCCCTCAGCTTTCTCTTTTGTTCTCCATGTTGTATGATAATTGTTTGTTTAATGAAGTTTAATGCAAAAGAATGAGCACAATATTATCATCATGCCTAGCCTTAGGTTCAAAACTGTTCAAAACCAGGCAGTATCCTTATTGGATGAGGGGAAGGCTGATATTCGTTCTTTTGTGTTTGGTGGGTGACTCTCTGGATGAATATTTGATGTCCTGAGCCAAATTTCAATGTCAGGGTAACACACAAAACTCTAGTTCCGTAAAAGAATACCTGGAGAAATATTAACAGTCAAGTGTAATGGCCGTATTCCGCATGTTAAATAAATCATAATCAAAGCTGTTACAGAACTTGGGAGTTCACAAAAAAGCCGTCTCCAACACTCTCATGGAAGTTCCTCACCCTGAAGCATCAACAAATTTACAGCTAGCTGTGATCTCATTTAAAAGTAACAATTCATGGACATCAGTTCTCTGATAACTTCAGTCACGAGTTGAGTTCTTTAGCCATTCCAGATATGGGATGTTGCCACCAGTTATGGGTAGCGCGATGACTTCTGGTACCCTTCAAAACACAATAAGAAAGAGTAAGATATGACACATCCGAAAAAAAAAAAAAAGTGATTCTAAAGAAGGAAAACAACTTCTGGAACCCTTCAAGAAGGAAAAGTAAGCTACAGCAGCAAACAAAAGGTTATTCTGAAATCTGAAGAACTCACTCATATTCATGATTTGCCTTCACATGTTCAGTCAGAGCTTCCAAAAGTGATTCCCTAGTCTTGATTATAAGCAACTCCTCGGAATCGGTCTGTATCTGCAATCACAAAGAGCAAACGCTCTTCTCAGGGCATATCTTCACCTAGATCAAAGTACCAATTAACATTGCCAGATAGAAATTGTACCTCCCCTTTCCATTCATAAACGGATTCGATTCCTGAAGAGAAAAATAACAAAAAGAAATTGTTTCAAAATATCAGAAAGGCAAAGCTGACGTATATCGAACTAGAAAGGGTAAGACTAGTAGTCAAACATGAAACAAAAACAATGTCAGCAAATCATACTAATGCAACTGCCCCATATAACACTGAAGAACAAGGAGTTTACTGACTGCTTTGAGAAAGAAACGTATTAGATAACACTAGAAAGAATAACAAAAGCTCATCCACCAAAATTTTAAGCAATATAACAAACTCAATTTGTTCTGTCCACAGATCATCAGCCTCATCCATATGGCAGAAAAGACGAGAAAATCTTAAATACAAGTTCTACATCCATGAGCAATGCTCATGAAAACTATTGAACGATAACAGTCAAGACTTTCATTCGGCTCCCTAGCCACCTAAAAATATTAATAGACAAACGAAGTAGACAACATGACACTGAATTAAGAAGTTAGCCATTGATGTCAACTTTCCACAGTGCATTCATAACAGATTTGAAGGAAAAAATTGGAATACAATTTTCAATAGCACAGAAGGTTCATAAAAGTTTTCAATTGGTCTCGTCAATGACTCCACACTTCATTACTTTATGAAGTCTGAGAGCAAAATCTTGTGAACCTTAATATGCCGCAGTGACTAAGAATGTAAAAAGGTGCTCCCTAAAATGAGTCCTCACTTTCACAAGCAAGTTTGGACAAGTTTCAATAAGTTAATAAGTCTTTGGACGACCAAAATAAAAAATAAAAGACAAAAGAAATCCAGAGCTTCAATGAACTTGCCTGGGACTCTGTTCACACATGCTGCAAGCCTAGCTTTAACAATGCTTTCTGCCAATTTTTTACCTGTATCAATAAGCAACGTGTTACGCAATCAATCATTAATTGTAATGGAAGTTTATGATGCAGTATGATGAACTAGATATGCATCCATATCTACCAATGCAAGAGCAAATTACATTCTCTGGTGGGTAATCCAATGAGGATCACCATGAGTTTAAAGCAAATCATGATTATTAACCTATGTAACATCCACTGTTGCAGTATCAAGTGGTTAATCTGGACCTGATGATGCACTCAACTATATAATCCAACTTATCTCTATCTTGTAGCACAAATGTGATAAAATGCCAAACCACAAACTCTGTTGCAAAGCTACAAATAAGATCTAATGAAATTCACAGTGTTGTTCAGTCACTACTCTAGCCTTGGCATCTAAAAGTTTTGATCCAGTAATGATATCTCAACAAGAGCCATTTGATTGGAAAAGATTTGAAAACCCAAAATAAAATGAATATTGGTTTATAAGTATTGGTCCTTAAAAGTATTGGAGCTTACGAGACACAATTATGAAACGCTATTCTTATGACCCCAATGGATCATTTGTTGCTTTTTGTCATATAATTTACTACTATCAAAACACACAAACACCTTGCATTTCGGCCTTCAAAAGAAATTCTTCTCACTAAGCTTATTCAGTTTCTCTAGCCATAAGTATCTCCCAGTGGGAGATAAGAGAAAATTTCACGCTGGCTTACACTTCCATACTAATTTACTACCTTAAAGGGCTTTATGATTGTCCTCCCTATTATTTATGCACAAACCTTAAACTTTCCAGAAGATCGAAGATGGAACCAATCTGTTTTATAAATCCAGCTGCAAACTAAACTAACCTATAGCTTTGATCAGTGAAACGCAAATAAACAGGAAGCAAATAAAACTTTCATCAACACCGAAGAATTGGTTCAAAAGTTTTGGTCCTATTACGGTGAGAACATTTAGGCACAAAACGAAACATGCTCGGAAGTGACGCCAGAAAACTCAGAAGAATGAAACGAACCTGCTTCTTTATTTGGAACAGTAACATAAACAACAATGCTGGGAACCGTTTTGCTGCTGGCTTCCATCCTGATGTTGGTACTATGGACGCTTCTGCTCTCAACCTTTGATCTGAAATCAAAATCCAATGAACAAGAAAAGAAAAACCCAGATATTAATTTCAGATTAAAAAAAAAACTTAATTCAGTATCAAGATACCAACTTTTGGGCATTAAACTTACATAAAAGTGAAGAATTACCTCAAAAGAGGAGGAAATGGGAGGGAATGAGCAAAACCCGATTGGGAGAAGATTGATAGAGGGGGATAAAAATTCGAAAGTCCAAAGCTAAGCACACAGAAAGCACCAACAAATGGTAATCGGCGACGAAGCAATTGGGATGATGCTAAAGATGTGAGCTTCAGTGCCATATGCAAAAAGGGGGAATTCGATGCTTTTTATACTTCCAATCAAAAAAACAAAATTAGTGGAATTTGGTAGTTCGGGAATCAGTTGTTTCTAAATTCTAATCGCATCATTATTATTACAGTGATTGGGAAAACCAGAGAGCATTTTACCTTAACTTTGCTTCGGCCCAAGTCTCGCTTTGTTGTTTGAGCTCGCACTTCTGATAGTTTTAGATTTGGGCTGAAATGTAAGTCTATGGACATATTGTAACTGTAAATTTTTTATTCGATACATACATAAAAGTTGTTTTTATCATCAACAATATTGATAGTTCTCTTCACGTAGTTATAAACGCTTTTAAAGAACTTACTATATGATTGATTTTGCCAAACTATAATACTCGATCTTAGTTAATGCTAGTTCATGATCTCGAAAGAGCTTAGAAGTGACCAGATTAGGGCTGTAAACAAGCCGAGCCGCTCGCAAGTTATTCGCGAGCCGACTCGGTCAAAACTTGTTCGAGCTCGAGTCGAGTTCGAGCTGCTAAATTATGGAAACGAGCCGAGCTCGATCCTGGATGAAGCTTGCTCGAGTGGCTCGTCGAGCCAACCGAGCCGATATATGTTAGCCGACCAATATATATGTTATCTAATTAGTGCATGTGGTCCATTCTTATTTTTTTTTACACTATTTATTAAGTTATTAAGGGGGCTTTTCTTCTTCTTATTTTTCTCTCCTCCTCTTTCGTTGTTTCCCAGAACCACTCCTGCTCCCTCTCTCCTTAATCTCTCACCAGCAAACCCATCTCAATTCTTCAATCCAAATCTAGTCGATTTCATCATCAGTTTATCACATTCTAGTTTTTGGTTTTGACCCAAATCAAATAGAGCACAACTGCGATATTATTTTCGCAACTTTTTTTTGTTGAGGACAAACCTCGTGGTTTTTGAATTTTGTTCACCATGAGAATTTGGAATCTGCAAAAACCATAAAAGGGGTTTTCCACCGCAATCAAACCCATGAAGGAATTCCTTCTAGATTTAAAGGAATTGTTCTATATTCCTCTTCTCTCGTTTCTAAATTCCTTCTCGTTTCTACATTCACTTATATATATATATATATATATTTCTTTTGGTCCTTTTTATGATTAATGGATACAGTTATTTTGATTTCTCTTCTGGTTGGCTAGTAATTCTTTTGACTTTGCTCGGAATTGAAAGATTGTTAATGTTCCGAAATTGTTGCCTTTTTGGTTCTGTTTTAAGGCTTTTAGATTTCGAGTTTAACGAGTCGAGCTCGAGCTCGCTACAAATCGACCGAGCCGAGCTCGATCCCAATTTTTGTTGGCTCGATCAAGTTCGAGCCGAACTCGAGTTTAGTATAAAAATGCTCGAGCCGAATTCGAATATAGGAAAACTCGCGCTCGACTCAGCTCGTTTACACCCCTAGACCAGATTGACTTAGATTCCCTCATATTCCGTCACAATCCAAAATTTGGAGTCAGTGATAATTACTTGGTGGTAAAATCAGCGTCGTCCGTGTGGGTTAGGCCCAGTCCAAAGCTTACTTCAGAGTATCATAAACCAGTGATAAGTAGTAGTATCACTTCATTTGTACGAAATTATTGTTCTGTTTAAATTTTCATTTATAATTTAAATAGTACTAAAAATGATGATTCAAACGGGAAAATCATTCTATCATAGAGAGGTTAATAATAGTGTTTCATCAAGAATTCATACTGATGAATCCTTGAGAATTTATTCAAAAAAAAAAAAAAAGTCTCTGAGAATTCTGATAGGCAACTTTGAGGACTTTACCCAAACTTTTGATCCTAAATAGTATATTTTTTTTATCCCAAAATTATCGTTGGGTTTAAATTTTCATTTTTAGTTTAAATTATATTGAACAACAATTTTGGGACGGAGGAAGTACATAAACTAAAACTAAATATAATTCAAATTTTACATTCTTATGTATAAAACAGAAGAGTCTAGAATTACATTAAGATTTTGTACAAAAATAGAATGCCAAGTCATTTCCATTTTCTATTCCAGACAAGTTTTTCGATTCATTTCACTTTGTATCAGTATTACATTTTTTTTTATATATATATATTTGCAGGGTGTCCACGGTCGGCAACAGTCACTAATCGCCTTTGCTGAATTGTAGGCATCTCGATGAGTGGGACAACTGACCAAAGTATTTAAGATTACTCCATACTCACCACGAGATTCCACGCTCATGTTCCATGCCCAAAGTATTTAAGGTTGAAATTATTGCTCTGTATCAGTATTACATTGTGCAACAATTTTACATAACTTCATTTGTAGGTGTTACCTAGTAACACTTCTTAGTGATTGAACTTCATTTGCAGGTGTTACATAGTAACCCGTAGCTGTAAAATCCAGAGATACTCTCCTTATTTATTCTAAATTAAATTATTCATAAGTCTACGCTAAACTTCAATATTGCTAACTAAAACATACTAATATGCAGAGATACGTAACTTTGCACCCTCAGAATCTTCGGATCTTAAACTCACGTGTCCACATATTGCGTGACACGGGTTATACATATAAATAAATCCATGTCGAAGCAATTATCAAGGAAAAAAGAAAGAAACATTCAGTTGTGGTACTTAAAAGTAAGCTTTGGTTCTTTTCATTTTTTCTTTTCCTTCTTAACAAAAACAAAGAAGGAATCTAAACAAATGGCATGTATATTTAGCATTTTTGGGAATTGACTAAGTGCAAGTTTAGGTGGAAGGGTTGAGCTGCAAGGTAGGCTTAAGCATGAGCTATTACGTTTAAACGACAGCACTCCCTAATTTTTGTAAGCATTAGGTGTTCTTTGTTTCTTTATTATCAAACCCCCCATCACCCCAACCTTGTGGCCCCTTTGTTTGATTTTCCTCTATCAAGCATGCAGACAGCCCTTTTTTCTTTAAAAACTAATTGAACAAATAAAAAAATATTTCAAAAAAAATACACTTTTCGGACCAAAATAATTATCAGATTTCTTATATATACTCTCTCTAATCTTAATTTATGCCTTATAATTAGAATTAAATGGAGTATTATTTCAATATAACAAACAGTAACGTTATATATATATATATATATTTTGAGACGGAAGAGAATATATGATGTAGACAGGAATATAATGTGATATATAATCGAATTGAATCTGATTATGTAAATGCCTAGTCGGTGATGAGCATCCTACAAGGTTGGTCATAGAGCCATGTGATACTTAAATTTCCACCTTTATTTCAATCGGGTTGTGTTTCAATGGCAAGTTGTATATTACTGTTCTAACTTCTCTCATTGATAGTGAGTGCATTGCTTCATCTCATTACTCCAATGTCTCACCATGCATAAACGTTTTATAACTATGTAGTAGCTAGCTAGCTCGGACCATCAGTATATATCAACGTGCACCTTTCTCGTTTTATTATTTTAGTTCCAACCCGACACTAACTTATCATCAGAACATATACTTATATACAGTGACAGAACGAGAAATTTCAAATCCCGCAGTCATAAATAAATTATTCAACTGTCATCAAAGAATCGAAGTGAAAAAATTTCAACTAACAGATATATTACTAAGGAAAAATCCAGCCAAATACGACCGGTCGGGGGTCAAATCGACCACCCTGATCCCTTTTAGTTCCTTCACTGCTTATATACTAAAAACTCTATTAATTACATGTTTTTAAAAGCAATTCAATAATTCAAGACACTTAATTTATGACTAAAAATGGAATTTGTTCTTGATTTCCAAGTTATAATCTCTTTTCAGATGTAGCTGGTACTCAAAGTTGACTGATTGATGATTACTATATATAGTGTGAGATCGCTCGATCCATCCTAGCTATAAGATTGAGCATCAATGTAGTTTACTAAGAAGATCGATCAAGATGACCCTTTAGCAGATTATATAATCAACTTGGAAGCCAAGACTGCAATTTGCTCAAATTATTTTAGTATTAATTTGTAAATTGGGATGAATTTTTTTTATATATGTAATTCAGAAGGTGGGTATATAGTAGACAAATGAAGTGGTGGAGACACAGAAGTTACAGAAGATACGGCTGATGTTAGGGATGGTTGTGGTGTGGCAACCCAATTCTGTATTATTTCCACATGCCCTACACATATATATACTACTGGCAAACATATCTCCCTCGAATACCCAATTAATTAATTAAAAATATTGTTTTAATTCTCTTAATTGTCATAAACAAAATTTTTAATATTTTGTTATTTATAATATCTGACTTCTGACTCATCTTTGTACGGCATGTGTATATATGAAGTAAAATGGAAGGAATTTTGTTTTCTTTTTTGCAAGATTGTGTTGGCCTGTTTTTCTTTGTCAACTATACGCGTGTGGTAAGAGTAGTTAGATGCGTGATCGTAAGAGTGTAAAAATGGTATTCTTGTTTTGATCTTATTGGCTTACTTTGCTCTAACTCGTAAACTAATGATCCTGAAATCAGATTATTCGTTTCAATTTTATTTTTTTTGTGTGTGTATTTATCATTTCTTTAATTTCTTTTTCTTTTTTAGTGATTTAGGATTAACATTTTAATATCTCTAAATAAAATGATGCAATCTTACTAGCGAAACAATGGTTGATATCAAGGTTTTCAAAATCCCGATCCGGATCTTAGGATCTTACGATCCTGCGATCCAAAATCAGGAAATCGATCATTGATCTTATAAAATCCTTATTTGTAGTAGGATCTTATGGAATCCTTCAAAATCCCAATCCGGATCGTAGAACCCTACGATCCATCGATCCCATTGATTTTGTTAATACTTGTACTAATTATTGATTTCGTATAAAAAGAGGGAAAAATGATGAGAAAAAATATAAAAATTGAAATTTTGAGTTGATGATGTTTATGCGAGCACTAGTCTACTTTTCCTCCATAAAATCAAACAAGAATTGAACTAATAAATTGAAACTCGTAATTTTAGAATTATTATAATATTTTAAATGATTACGATCTCAC